TCACAATGCCTTCATCTGTCAAATGCAAAGCAGTATACAAAAATATACAATATGCAAAACATGGACCAAAGCAACTAGCAATTTATAAGAAAAACATTTAAAAGATCACTATTTTCCATTTGTATTAACATTTTTCTTTTATTGTATAAAATAGGGACCACATCTAGCACCATTTTCTAGATGATGCAAATATTTTGCTTTGTAGCTGATCTATCTACCTCTCTTTTGGGTACTCAGATAACATTTATATTGATATTCTTCTAACAAGGGGATGGAAAGAAAAGGGTTAAGATCACAGAAAACAGAGGGAAAAAAAGTAACTACTTAAGAGCAGAGATTGCTAAATGAGCCATGTACAATGCAGAGAATCAATATGGGTTTTCTAGATATGTATTAATATTAAGAGTCGGCTTCAGTTTTGCTACATATAAGCAAAGCTTTTAGGCTATCTTATATTCTTCTATGAAAGTTATATCCTCTTCAAAGTTACCTTGCTACTGAATCATGCATTTTGAGTTTTCCAGTGTGTTCTATGCTAGGTTCAATGAAAAAGTTCAAAAAGTTCCGAATAGGGACAGAACAAAAGTTTCCATCAGAATGGGTCTTCTTTCTTTTCTTAGAGGAATTATGCTTTGAGACATGGATCCTCCCCCATACTTGAAAAAATTTTTTCTCCCATCAAAGAATTTCCAATGGTTCTCTAAAGAGGAGTGCTTCCTGATAAGAATCCCTGTAATGGCTTCCAGTAAGGCAAAAAAGGGTCAGTATGTTCAGTAAGACTACTTTTTTAATTTTTAAATTTTATTTTATTTCTAATATAAATTGTATATATTTGAGAGGTAAAACATGATGATTTATATGTATATACATAGTGAAGTGATTACTACAATTTACACATCTCCTCACCATTACCTTTCCTGTGCATGTGTGTGTGCGTGTGTATGCAAGCGTGTGTGGTGAGGGCACCAGAAATCTACTCACTTAGCAAATCTCCAGTATTCAATACAGCATTAGTAACTCTAGTCATCATGCTGTACATTAGATTTCTAAAACTTATTGATCCAATAGAACTACAACGTTGTACCCATTGACTAATATCTCCCTGTTTGTCTGCTCCCCACCCCTTGTAACCACTCTTCTACTCTTTGCTACTATGTATTCAACTTTTTAAATTCCATATATATAAGTGAGATCATGCCTTGGACATTGTGTGAAGTGAAATAAGCCAGACACAGAGAGAAACTGTCTCTTTCTAAGTGAAGCAGGTGTGGAAGTGTTTCACCCTTGCAGAGAACAACATATCTTCCAAAGTAACTGAGTCTCCAGTCAAACACTGCAAGTCAAACAGAGGCTGCATTTTGAAATGCTGGTAGCTAAGCAATACCAGCTGCTGATGAACCTGAAAGGCAGAAGGTGAGGATGAATGACCTTGAGCATATTATTAAATGTCCCTGCTTACTGTTACCGTCACATCAGTTAGCTCAAGTTTTCATAGTCAATTTCCGCTTTGCAGACTTTCAAGGTTGGCAGACGCTCCCCATTCCTTCGGATGTCTCCTGCCTGCTGAATGCTTACAACCAGGAGAAACACTCTCTCCGCCTGCATATTTCTGCTACCAGCAAACAGAATCTATCAAGAGTCAGTTTCGTTTCTTCCCAAATCGTTGCCTTGTAATTGGGTTTACAATTATGTGTATAATTATATAAGTAAATAACATATTCATTTTTATTGAGTATAATAGTTTATTACAACGAAATATTACACAGACTGGTTAAATTCGAGAACAAAGAGAAATATGTTTTATTCTATGGAAACTAAGTTTAGTGCCTTAGAAATAACTCTATGAAGTCAAGTAAAAAAACCAAAAAAATTACTGTCAAATTATTATAGGTGAGGAAACTACAAAAGATCAGGAGAAACAATACCCAAAATCTAAAAGGATATTATATGCATATTGCTTGCCAAAAAAGTTTAAATTTTTCACTCTGCTTTGAGGAACTACAGACTAGCTTCTCTGCTATGTGTGAGGTTTGTGCATGAAACACCAGACAAAACTGCAATCAATATACCAATAATTTATCTTTAAAAAAGACCCTGGGACAACAAGAAGATTAAAAAATTACTATATATTTATATTATTAGGTATGCATCATCTCCTGATTTCCTCTTCTTAATCTTTTTAAAAAAATTATCCACGGCCTGATTGCATTACTCTGTGTCCTTTGCCAACAGCCAGCACTTCCTGGCTTTTGAAATCAATGAATACTTCCAGAGAAGAAGTTATAAGATCACAGAAGCACAGGGCAGACCGTTCTCTTCATTTCGACTCTACTGGTTATGTAGGTGTTTATCTTTGAGCAGCTTTGTTGTTTGCTCTCGACTGATTTCCCATTTTATACCAGAGATAAAGGTAGCTCACATGGACGCTTAAGATACAACAAATTAGGATAAATTTCAAGACTTTAGAAAAGTGAATTAACATTCCGAATCTCAGTTTCTTCACAGTGTTGTGAAGAATAAGTGAGAATTCTTCTAAAAAGCCAAGCATACAGAAGTGTCCAATGAATGTGAGTTCATTTCCTTATCTGGTCAGTAAAAGGATATATTGAAGATGCATAATTTTCATGGTGATTAGGAAATTATTCTATGCCTCTGTATAATGCTTTGTGTTTTTAAAGTACTTTCCTATATATTCTAATTAATCCCACACAACAACGGTGCAGAATAAATATATCAGGTTTAATTACTTCGCATTTACATTTTATAAGACTGAAGCAGATAGATGTGAAGCGTCTAAACCAAGTTCTCTCTGAAAGTTAACGCAAATTTATGTTTAAATAAGCCTATTACGAGTTTATTTTCTGAGCCTTTCTCTCATTAACTTCTGCAATTCTACAAGATGTCTAAGATTTTCTTTTAAATTTCATTACTCTTTCATAATGCTCTTCTTTAGAGGCTCACCAATAACTAGCAGAGAACATAACACTTTAATTCCATGCCAGTACATGAAAAACAGAATAAAGATAGAAAGCAAAACAAATTCCTCATGAACACAATTGAAAGTCAGCGAGTTTTGTCCTCTGAACACATAGTCCAACATGGGGCCTGAAAATTAGAACTTCTTGTACTGTTGTATTTCTCCATCCTGAATGTACCCCCAGACAAGAGGACACTGGGACTATGGTTGGATTTGCAGAAACACAGCCAAGGCCTGAGTAGTCAGGAAGGAACTTTTGGATAGGCCTTACTACTTAATTCTAGAATCTCAGGACCTTATTGGAATTGTGATGAGAAACTGTTCACTGATGCAAGAAACTCATTTTTCCTGACAGAGGGGAAATCTACTCTCAACTAGACATAACTCTATCACTGTCTTAGTTCTGTTCATATTTAATTTCCTCCTCCTGTCCCCTCCCCACTGTGAGGCAGCCATTCTATAGATTAATTTTGCCTATTCTTTAGCTTCATATAAATGGAATCACATAGTACATACCCTTTGTATCTGGCTAAGTTTATTCATAAAATGTTTTTGAGATTCATCCATATTATTGCTAGAATCAATAGCTTGTTCCTTTTTACTCCTAGGAAGTGTGTACCTGTATTAATATACTACAGTTTGCTTATCATTTCTCCTGTCCTTGGTATCTGAAATCTTTCTGCTTTTTGGCTATCATGAATAGAGCTTCCATGAAACTCTTATAAAGTATGGACATATGTTTTTATTTCTCTTGAATAAATAAGTAGCAGTAAAATTGCTGAGCATACAATTAGCGTATGTTTACCTTTATTAGAAACCATCAAATGGCTTTCCTAAGTGGTTGTACCATTTAACATTCTCATTAGCAATGTATGAGTTTAAGTTATGCCATATCCACACCAACACTCAAACAAACAACTTTTATCTGACCTTAGAGTCCCCAAATATGCTATTCCTCTACCTGAAGTATTATCCCCCTTGTTCTGTGACTAATTAGTTGACCACTTACCCATGATGTCTCCGTTTAAATATTAGTTGCTCAACAAAGTCTATTCTTACCATTTTCTAACTCATCTAGGTTGGCCCTCCTGCTACACATTCCCAGAGCACACTGTACCATTTGTGTAGTATTTATAAGACTCACCTTGCTTATGATTATTTGTTTAATACTTCCTTCTTTCTTAGAGTGTGAGCTCCATGAAAGCAGAAACCATGCCTTCCACTATGCCTGGATGATTAGAAAGTACTCGGTAAATATTTATAGCTTTTTGCAAAGCCAAGCTGTAAAATGTTTTAATTACCTTATCACAGATATAGTGAAGGTGATTTGTTAAAACCATTCATAAGGGAATCCATCAGAGTACAGACACATGTACAGGTAGGCATCAGCTAATAATTATAGCAGAAATTCCTTTTGTCCACTTCGCTGATATCGTCTACTATGTTTTCAAACTATGTAGTATTTTGTGTCCAGCTCAAGAAAACCATAACAGCATCTTTCTGGAGGGTTTTCAGGGACAATAGCACAAAGCAGATGTTTAAAACAATAAATCCAGATAAGTCTTCTGGCAGCTTTTGTATCATCACTAAGAAATTCATCGGATAACATTAATAATTTATCATTAATATCATCAGCTCCAAGACTACTTTACAGCTTTAAAAATAATTTACTCCTTAAGTATAAGTAAGATCATATTCTTTCCCACTACCCAGAGCTCTCTTCTTCCCTACAGCTGAGGCTCACATAAAATGTATGCATCTGGAGAGCTGAATTGACTCATCCTAAACAATAGGGTGGCATTGCAATAGACACCATTGGATACATTTTTTATTTTCTTTAGAAAATCAAACACATATAAGGAACCAGGCTTTGGATATCTTGGAATTTTATCAGGCCTTCCATTAATTCCAATTAGAAACCAGGGTCTAGCACAGGGCTTGGCACATAGTAGCGGTTGAATAAACATTTATTTAAAACATCAATGAAAGTGGTCACAGCAAAAGCCCCAAACAAAGGAAATTCTAATAAACAAAGTTTATTGATTAATCCAGAAACATAGCCATTTTTTAAAAAAAAGTATAAACCAAATTATTGCTTTCAGTCAATGAAACCAGGCGCCCCATGGGTGGGAGCTCTGTTTAACCAACACAGCTCTTACAGCGCTGAAGGCCATTCTCGTTGCAAGCCGTGCACTTCAGGGCCTTGAAAGAGTCCGTAAAGCAGTTTCGAAACACTGACATTTTGCTCCCGTGGCAGATGGAGCACGGAAGAAAGCCAAAGCCTCCACAGGAGGGACACTCGTGTGGATGCTGCACTCTCTGGATAGGTGGCAGGGAGACAAGAGAGGACAGAACATGTGTTAGCATGACAACTCCATCAGCCCTCCTGTATTTCTGTACTGTGGATGGTCACAAAACAATATCGGCATAATATGGCTGGGGACCTGAAATCACCTACCATTAATATACAATAGACGCAGGGGATACACTAACTGAAGTTTCCTTCATTATCTCATTGACGGCCATCAATAGCATAACCTTGGTGTGTAAGGGCTGGTACCTTTTAGGTTAAAGGGCACACACTTCCAGAAATCCATCATATGAAAGCACATATTTAAAAATCAAACAGTTCAGGAAATGGTCATTTGCATTAAAGGAAAATACTGTAACTTTCCCTTTAGTATCACGTCACAGTTTTATATCTTGGTTTATAGAATAGTAGGACTAATAGTGAGTATGGAAAATCAGAAAACTAAAAGCTGGAGTGGATGAGCCACTGTCAACTGAAGATCCATCACTGCACATGTGAATAATACTTTCTGTTTTTAAAAGCACTTTCAAATGCATCACTATATAGAATCTTCCCTCATCCCACCCTTCACACACACTGACACCTTCTTCTGTAAAGCAGCTAATTCAAGCAACATTATCCTCATTTTATATTTAAAGAAACAGGCATAGAAATCTTAAGACATTTATCCAAGTCTGTAAAATTACCCACAGTAGCTATCAGCCTTTCTACCTCAAGTAAAAATAAAGTACCCATGAAAGTATAATGAAATTAACTAGCAAGGATGTTAAAGATATTTTGAAAATTATCCATACGTATTTCTATTTGCTTTTTTGAGCATGTGACCTTTACTGGAGTCTACTAGCAGCATCCATTTGCTGGGGGGAGATTAGGATCGATTACAGAATGAATACAAAGAGAACGTGAGTTAATACCAAGCTTCTGACTTGCAAAATAGGAATTTGCAGCAATGTTTGAAAGCCCACCTTTGTGACAAGAGTAATTGCTAAAGTAAGCTTGGGAAATGTAGACACAGACACACACACGCACACACACAAGCACACTCAAACATACCTTACATACTTAGACATACATACAGATTTTCCCTGGAAGTTCACAACTGTACTTAAGAAAGTCTCCAAAAAATCCAACTGAAAAGGTAACCGATTAACTAGGTTTAATCTACCATGTCCCTGGCAAGAAACCTTTTCCCAGAAAACAACTATAATTTTCTCATAATCAGTACCCTGTGGAATGTACTTTGGGAAACAAACATTAAGGATATGATTGCTTTAAAATTTATATATTCCCAGACCACTCTTCAGAGATGCATATTCTGTATATAGTAAGATTTGTTTACAGTTACCATTTGACTTTGCTATTATATCAAGATGGCAAAATCCATGGAATATCTTATTTTTAGTAACACAGAATTACTTTGATGGAAAGTAGTGATTGCCAGTCTGAATGACACAAACAAGGAATGTTGTCAAGTTTTTAGATACCCAAAGCTCTTCTAAAAAGTTAGATTGTATGTAGTAACTTAGTTTCTTTGTAACTGGGTTTTTGTCATTTCTTTGTGCAAGGTTGACCAAAAAATGGTGTACCAGACTTACAATTTTGCATGATATAAAAATGTCTTTAGAAAAAAAACTTTCAGTAAAAACAAAAACAGTGAAGAAAGAGTGCAGTCTAAAAGCAAAACATAGAGAATTAGTTAAGTAATGCTATTCTTATCAAATTTTAGAAAGAATATGATACAGTAGATAGGCCATTGACATGCATTAAAGCCATGCCAGAGATTATGTTAAAAATATTTAATGACTTGTACGAAAGAACACCAACTAGTCAGAAAGGACTAATAGGGCCCTGAATCCAGGACTTCACCCATTAGTGCTGGATTGTAAATAGAACTGGATTCCAAGTAGAGTGGGATCATCAGATTTTGCAATTTAAAAAATTGGGATGCCCAGTTAATTTGAATTTCTGACAGATCACAGATAAATTTTTATATAAGTATGTGCCAAATATTTTATGGGACATGTTTAAACTAAAAAAATTATTCATAATTTACTACAGGTTTAAATGTAAGTGGACATCCTATATTGTACCTGGCAATCCTCACAGGGGAGTTGCTGACAGGGAAGAGGAGAGCTGCTTGGGAGTCTTGGGGTAGCAGCTATTTACCAACCAGTATAAATTATTTTAATATCTTAACAACCAGTATAAACATGTTTCAATATTTTTAAATTCTTGAATAGCCTATGGTTGTCCCATAAAATATATTTGCAATGGCAAGCAAAGAACAACAAAGCTAGAATGCATGTGAGCACTAGGAAGCTTCCTAGGTTCATTCACCAGCTGTGTCACTCACTCCAAACACCAGGCTCTAAACACAGAGAACCCAAAATGATAACGCAATGCAACACAATTAAAAAGTATTGAAACTGAGCAGGACCCTGCAGAACCATCCTGGGGACAGACACCTCCCCACCCCATCCCCTGGCTCTTGTTTATAGAAAAGCTTTAGCCTCCTAGGCCTTCCCTGAGTTCCAAAGAGCAAATTTAATCAGAGAAGTGAGAAAACGTGGAAACAAATGAAAACAGTTAGGCAAGACAAAATAATAATAGTCTAGCCATAAAACAAAGTCAAGGACCTTTAGTTCCTCCTCAAGGGCTAAAGATAATATCCTGAGCCATATCCTGGAGTTGTTTTGCAGATACTAAGACCCCCCCCCACTGCCAACGAGGTGGAAGAAGTTAACTGCATGCTGACCTCCAGTATGTAGGCTCCAGGCAGGTTGGAACCAGAAGGTTGATGATGTTAACTCCCAAAATACCACCCTGTTATCTCACCACCAACCAATCAGGAGGATGTTCACGAGCTGATCAGGCACTCTGTGACCCTCTCCCTCACTTTGTCTTTAAAAACCCTTCCCTGAAGGCCACTGGGGAGTTTGGATCTTTTGAGCATGAGCTGCCCATACTCCTTGCTTGGCCCCATGTTGGGCACCTTACGATAAACGTTGTACTTTCCCTTTACCACACCCCAGTATCAGTAGATTGTCTTTACTGCATGGGTGAGTGGACCCAAGTTTGGTTTGGTAACATTATCTTATATCATGGGCCTGGAACATGATTTACAAAAATTACTTTCAAAGGGTCAAAATATCAAATGTTAAATATATAATGAGTCTGCTCTTTCTTAAAGTTTCTCCACAATTCAGAAAAAATAAATTTTCTAAAATGAAGTTAATATATAAATACTAAAAGCCATATTGTTCTTTTTAGAGAGAATCACAAATAGACCAAGGTCATTCTAAAATAACATCATCACTTGCAAACTGGTGGTCACAGAGTTTCTCCCCAGGAATCTCCAGCCATGTGTTTACCAGCACAATGAACATACCAGAAATTGTCAAGCTCTGTTGTCTCAAACTCAGTTTAAATTTGGCTGTCAATTTGAAATTTAGGGACAGAACTTTTCATTAGATTACTCAGTGCTGTAGTCCATACTTTAAACAAACTGGATCTAGTATATCTTTCTTTGCCTTCAAGCTTTCCAAATGGGAAAAGTCCATGGAAGAGTCATTAACCATTACAGATGGTCACTTCAGTTACGATGGTTATTTCTTTGTATTCTAAAACATCTGTTAATTTTATATTTGTAAGATGGTAAAATCAGTTGATTCAACTGATCAAGAACAGGAAGTAATAGAATAATAAGAAAAATAAATAAATAAAATAAAACAATGTCAGAATCTGTGCAATGCCATGATGAGATATGTCTTTTACTTTAAAGATATGTCTTTTACTTTAAAGATATGTCTTTTACTTTAATTCACTCATTAAATTGTCTCAACAATTTAATGAGTTAATTCATGTAAAGTGAATAGAATATTGCCTGGCACATTGTAGCTACTTAACAAGACATGATTAGTTATTATTTCACTAATAAATCCTTATTTGAAGAGATTTTTATTAGCTGCTGCCTCAAGTTAAATTGCTTGTGGTCACATGACACAACCATTTTCTACCATTCATAGAGTCATTTTATTTAAACACTTCTATACTTAGTCTTCTGGTCTAAAGTGTTACCACTGTAAGAAAGGGAGAGTAAATGTGTTTCAGTTCACGTGAAAATTCTGATGTCTTGGAGCACAGTATTGGAAAGATTCTGAGGCCACTTCCACTCAGGAAAAATTAGCTGTTTCAGCCATAAACTTGGGAGAGAAAAGGGATAGCTTACATAAGATGTAGTGTCTATACCCAATTCTCACACGAACCTGACGTAATAGAGACTATCTCATTTCACAAATGATGAAACAAAGTCTCTTAATGAGTTAAAAAAAATGTTCAGGTCACAGTGGAATTTGAAAATTAGAAATTAGAGAACTCTCTTCAAGAACTATATGCATGCCCTTTCCTCTTTAAGAGTAGCTTTCAACCTTTACCTACATCCATTTTTTCCCAATAATATATTACATGGGATTCCCAAAACATAAAACACTTAAAAGGATAAATGCTGCAAATGAAGCAGAAGTGGGGTGGGGGTGGGAGTGGGTCTTGAGGGGACCCACTAAGGCTCCCCCAGTGTTCCACTAGCCTCCAGAAATCTTACTCCTGTTACATCACCCAGTATAAGCTATTCCACTTGTTCTTCTAATAATAGTAAATAATTCAGTCATTCCTAGCCATCTCCTTCAAAGAGTGCTTTTGTTATATTGGAACTCTGGTTCCAACTTAAAAGAGTTCCAACAATGAGAAAGAGCTGGCTTATACTACATGTTCCTGTGTCCTAAGTCCAATACCTCAGTAGACAGCTTTGCCCTCAGTGCAAGATGGAAAAAGAGCTAAAAAATTCCCCAAATTTGAACAGTGTTCCAGGTTGGAGGAAGCAGGAATAACTGAAGTTAACAACAGTCATTATTGGTAGTAACAAAACAGACTTCCACTTTCAATGAAGAGGTTAACAAGAGACACTTTGACCTTCAAGCAATTAAGAAATCTAGGGTAGCTCTTCAGTGTC